AAAGAGAGAGAGAGAAACCAGCAGTTAGCGTAATAGCTATGTCGCTGGACTCCCATGTAGTCAACCGCGGTTTGCATCCCAGACTCGGTGGCTTAAAACTCACACCAGGCGCGTGTGCATGCGTGCCCAAGATCCCGAGAGGAGAATGGAGGAGAAGGGATTGCGGCGTGACCATCCCCCCTGGGGGGTGATTTCTCGCTTTCTGTCTCTGTCTCTCTCTGTCTGTCTGGCGAGTGCACGCGCCCTATAGCGAAAACCTCTCAAAAAAAAAAAAGAGAGAGAGAGAGAGAGAGAGAAGCAGCAGTGTACACCTGCATGGACATGAAGATGCACACAGGTTATGGTCCTCTTCCCAGAGTGCTGATTGGTCTTGCAATCAGCCTGCCATGTGATTAGAACCTGCAGTCCCTGGCTCCACCTTACAGTATATTTTTCTCTTTTCCCTTCCCTCTTAACTTCATGCGTTGTGTTTGTATTTTGCAGTCATTTAAAGCACTTTAAATTCTTTCTGGAATTATGGAAAAATCAAACAACCCTCTTAGTCTGAGCCTCTTTTTCTAGAATAGGCGTTACTGACGCCACCCAGCAGGCATGCTGAAAGGTGAAGATGAGGCCTTCAAGGTGCTCTTCCTGTGCTCTGAGTGACACCTTGTCTGACACTGGTGTGGCAGACTCTAGCTGTGTAAAAGCCCAGTACATTAACGCTCTGTAGGTGAGGCTAGGCCCTCTCAAAAGCACTCTGGAGGGTCGGGGCAGGCACTCTGAAGACTCTGACCTGAACTTACCTGGAACTTTGGTGGGCAGGGTGTGGTTGGCCGAGGCTAGCTTCGGTAGACCACAGGTTCTATGGGACCTTCCTGTTTTGGGCATTAGGCATACTCTCCACATGACCTCGCCCCTGGACCTGCCATGAAGATGGCCACCCCTGCTCACAGCAGGGCGTCGTGCACAACTCAGCTGGCTGGTCACATGAGGACTATGCAGGGCATCTCTCCAGTGGACTGCTGGGGTCCAGCTCCACCCGCAGACCCCACTACCCTTGCCTTTCGCTGTGGCTCATAGCAGGCAAAGCGAGCACGAGCCCTCAGGTGCTGTCTCGGGGTGGTCTGTGTGAGCTCAAGGTGGGCCTCTCAACCCTGCCCTGATCATCACCGGGAAGGCTTATTCCACCCTCCTCAGTTTTGTTCAGTATCTGGAAATCTCCCTTCTCTCTTTCAGCTCCCCTTTAATCTCTGTTGACTTGTCTCCTCAGCTCAGTTAGTTTCCATGGCGATTTGGTCCTGCCTCCTGGAGACCTTTTCTGAAGAGTGGTTTTCAGAAGCCTGCTTGTTCCCTGGGTTCACAGAGAAGTCCTTCTCTGGTTCTGCAGAACTTGCACAGGACATGCCTAGAGCCCCCAGACCTACACTTCCCGCCTCTAAGGTGCTGGTCTGGTCTTCCCTAACATCCAGGCTGTGCAGATGGGAGGAGGCTCCAGCCTGTCACCCACCAGCTGCGAACACTGCCCGGGACACAGGACCATGGATACCGGAAGCCCTGGATGGTCTACCCTGCCCCATGGGTTTGCCTTACAGGGTAGTTTCTCCCAGGATGTCTGTACCCTACCCCTGCCTGCTGTGCAGCTGGCGGGGAGGTAGTTTTCTGAAAGATTTGGAAAAGACAAGTCACGGACTGGGAAGGCAAATGCTGAGGGGATGGCTGAGGTCCCTGCTGGGAACAGGTTGGCAAGGGCAGGAAGAACGCACCCCTGCAGGCAGCCAGCTCACTGCAGCTGGAACACGGCTGGACAACCAGCCAGCTCACGCATGTGCATGTGTGGTCAGAGTCCATGGACCTCCGAATAAGTGAACCTCCCTGATTCCGGGGACAAGGACCATTCATCTCACAGAGTTCTCACTGGGCTGAATGGGTCTGCCTGCATGTTTCAGCAGAGAGCTCAGAGAAACAGGCCAGGGCTTCGTGTCGAAACCCTTCTAAACAGTGCAAGTGTTCATGTTTAAAAGTTCTTAGATCAGGGGGCCAGCAGATGGCATAATGGTTACATTGCTGGCCTCCCATGTAGTCGACTGCAGTTCGAGTCCCTGACATGGTGGCTTAAAATTCACACTGGGCACGTGTGTGTACACACCCAAGATCCTGAGAGGAAAATGGAGGAGAAGGGATTGTGGCCTGGCCATCCTCCCTGGGGTGATTTCTCACTTTCTGTCTCTCTCTGTCTCTCCAGTGAGTGCACAAAAAAATCTCTCTCATTAGCGTAATGGCTATGTCGCTGGACTTCCATGTAGTTGACTGCGGTTCACATCCTGGGCCTGGTGACTTAAAACTCACACCGGGCACGTGTGAGTGCATGTCCAAGATCCCGAGAGGAGAATGTAGGAGAAGGGATTGAGGCATGGCCATCCCCCCTGGGGGGTGATTACTCGCTTTCTATCTCTCTGTCTCTCTGTCTGTCTGGTGTGTGCATGCGCACTATAGCAAAAACTTCTCCAAGGAAAAAAAAAAAGTTCAGGACCAGCAGATGGCATAATGGCTACATCACTGGACTCCCATGTAGTCGACTGCCGGTCAAATCCCAGACCTGGTGGCTTAAACTTACGCCAGGTGTGCGTGCATGCGTGCCCAGGATCCCAAGAGGAGAATGGAGGAGAAGGGATTGCAGCATGGCCATCCCCCCAGGGGGTGATTTCTCGCTTTCTGTCTTTCTGTCTTTCTGGCAAGTGCATGCGCCCTATAGCAAAACCATCCCCCACCCCATAAAAAGAAAAATCTTCGAGCAGGTGTAGCTGGGGAAAAGGACCCTCAGCACACACCTAAAGGTAAGTATAAAGGTAAGTATAAAAGTGAGCAGTTTACAACCCGACATAGTCTGCCACCCGGAAAGGTAAACATGAATCCCTTTTCTCCTGGCTCATTGAGCGTGCCATGCTGAGATGCCCACAGCGGCATCTGGGTCGCACTGACACCGAGGAGCAGACAGGGGTGCCCGTGCCCTCGCATCTGCCCAAGTGCCAGCCTTGGGGGTCTCAGCGCGAGCAGAACCGCAAGCCTTACCTGTAGCCAAGCCCTGGCTCTTGGCACTGTCCCCCCGCACAAGCTGCCCTGTGTCTTGCTGGCTCTTCTCAGTCTACAGAGAGAACCCACAGAGTTCATGAAGTGGTGTCCGTCCACTGTCACCGGGACAGAGATGTCAACAGGGCTACTCGCGGAGACTGGCTTTGGGATGGGGTGGCTGCATGTGTCTTGGGGGGATACTCTAGCTACGTCTGCTGTGGAAGAGGGCTTCATGGCAGCCCAGGAGAAAGAGCTGGATTCCTGGCCTGAGAAGGGGGTGCATGGAGTGTCCAAGACCCCCCCGAGCCTGGGACGCTCTCCACACAGGCTCTTGCCTGGTGGGGAGAGTTCTGGTTATGGCAAGCCCCACGTGCTAAGCCCACGTCTTGAACCTAGGTGCTCAGTCCCATGCCCTGAGGCTTCCCTGGCCCAGCCAGCCCTCCACAGGCGCTGGCCGCAGGCCCCCAGCCTCGCCGCGGCCTCGTAGCGGGGCTCGTGCAGAATGCAGGGCTGTGTGCGCAGGGACGAGGCCGGGCTGTGAGACATTCCAAAAGTCACTAGCAGAAATGTCTCCAGGTACGCCTAAGCCCAAATAGCAGATCCACCTTCCCACAGTCTCCTTCCTGACCTGATTCTCAAAAATGGGTAAAGATGGGAACCAGCAGTTAGCGTAATGGCTATGTCGCTGGACTCCCACGTAGTTGACCGCGGTTCGTGTCCCGGACCCGGGTGGCTTGAAACTCACGCCGGGCGCATGTGCATGTGTGCCCAAGATCCCGAGAGGAGAATGGAGGAGAAGGGACTGCGGCGTGACCATCCCCCCTGGGGGGTGATTTCTCTCTCTGTCTGTCTGGCAAGCGCACACGCCCTATAGTGAAAACCTCTCAAAAAAAAAAAAATTAAATGGTGGCAGACATGTCCAAGGAATATTGTGGGGATTTTATCCATTTATGAATCTTGTAATAGATGAATGTGTGGAGATGGCAACTAGTGGGCAACAAAACTATATTGGAATGGTGGTAATACGAGAAAATAGTATCATCATGTTAGAAGCCTTAGAACGAGTATAAATAATGGCTGTTCAACAGAAAAACCCATGTCCCCTTGTCAACAGGCCTGTTTTTACTATGATGTAAAAATCAGGTCATGTACATTTTCATTATAAACGTTTTTGTTAAGAAAAATAAAAGCAAAACATAGAGGAAACAAGAAAAGGAAAATTATTTGTTGACAGTAACATGTATGTCGGTGTGCTTGATTGAGACAATATACAGTGTACTCTGGATGGAAAATCTCATTTTGTATGCTGTAATGATGTACAGTGAATGAACGTAACAAATAAATTTAAATTAAAAAAGTCAGCAATCACGTATCAAAACATGGAGTAAACGCTATTACAAGGAATTTTATAGTAAGTTTTGAAACTGACTAATGTCAGCTATCTAAACTTTTAAAAAATTGTTTCCAAAACTTTTAGTTATTTTTTTATCTTTTTTGTGCTAGATTAATCAATTATGATATTACGATTTATTGACATCATAAAATGAGGGTAGAAAGTTTCCATTTTCAAAACTTAAAGAACTTTTCCTTTTTAAAAAACTTAGATGATGCTCTTGTAAAGCTATTAGGACTTGCCATTTAAGAAAATTATTGTGTTTTAATTACCTTACTAATTACTCTCTTGTGGTCATTGTCCAATTAATATTTCTACCCTTTATTAGTCAATATTAAGAAGTTAAAATTTGACCCCCAACTGAAAGTCCTCTTCAGAAATGTTCAAATAGACCCACAATAGAGAGCCAAGCTCTTCAGTACAC